CGTTCGCGTAGAGGAATTTTGAAGGAGAGGAATTTTGGCCTCCGCGTTCGCGTCTAGGGGCCTCGCGATCGCGTAGGGGAAGCTGGTGAACCATCGCGCTCGCGTAATGGAGGATCGCGTTCGCGTAAGTGAAGGACCCAGGCCTTCGCGTTCGCGTGGATGAAGTCGCGTTCGCGAAGGGCATTTTTGGCAGAGTGATAATTTGGTCATCGCGAACGCGGAAGGACCATCGCGTTCGCGTAGAGTAAAATACCTGGACAGAAGGGTTTTAAAATAATATTTCATCCGCGATCCTTTCATATTTTTCCTCCATTGTTGACGTTCTTAACGAGCTTTGGACAAGGAAATTCGAGGGTTTTGACTGAGAATCACTTGGAGGTAAGTTCCTTGGCCTAAATATTCGAGTTTATGGTAGAAATTACATAAATATGGTGGAAAATTCATCAAATGGGTTAAGTTAGGGCTTGAGAAAAATAGGATGAAAAAGTGAAATTTGGAAGGTCAAACGAACTCCGATTTTGGTAAACTTTATATGCACGGACTCGTGGCGAGACGAGGAATCTGTTGGTGTGATTTTTGGAATTTTTCGAGAAGTGGGCCCGGGGCTCGGGTTTTACCAACTTCGTGAATTTTAGTACTTTTCGAGTATTTTTGATTGGGTTATGTTTCTTTAACCCATATTTATGTATTCGTTGTGATTTTGACTAGATTCGACGCGCGAGGAGGTCGATACGAAAGGAAAAGGCATTGCGGACCATTCTACGGCCGGATAGAGGTGAGTAGTTGGTGTATATGATGGCCTGAGGGTTTGAAACCCCGGCTTATCACATTGTGACGCTATGTTAGGGCGTGACTCGCACCCCATGGCAGGTGCGGGATTGGTTATGACTGGGGATTGAGACTTAGTCCATCTCGAACAAGAATGTTTCTATATTGGCGACTGATACACACCCTGTATTGGATATATCTGGGCTTATTGCCGGGTTTGGGGCCTTGTGCCGATCTGTAGCATCCTTAGAGGATGATTGTCATGGTGATAGCATGCTTTGTATAACCATTGATCTCAGTCCTGTGTTTAATCACTGTTATGAAACGCTAAGTCACTTTTCCTTAAGTTTAATATCTAAAGTATATTCTTCTTAATAAATTGGAAATTGGGAAATTTATTGAATCTGTTACGTGACTCATATGCATGTTGTGGACTGAGTATGGATCGGGCTGCACGCCGCAGCGAATGATATGATTATATTGCGCTTGGGCTGAAGGAGCCCCTCCGGAGTCTGTACACACCCCCAGTGAGCGCCGCCGACGTTAAATGGATCGGGCTACGCGCCGTAGCGGTCATGTGCATTGCATTGCATCTTTACATTATACTTGACTAATATATTTGAAGTTGTTTTGCTGTTAGTTCGTAGTTAGGTGTTGGACTGCTAGTTTTAGCTTTGCTTTGTGGTATTTCGTGGATTTCTTATCTTCAGACATTTTATATGCTTATTACTCACTGAGTCGGTAGTACTCACCCCTACTCCCTGCACCTTGTGTGCAGATTCAGGTACACCGGAGGCTTAGCTGAGCAGTCCTTGTTTTCCAGAGCTATTCAGAGTTGTTGAGGTAGCTGCTTGACGTTCGCAGGACCTGACTACTCTTCCTATTTCAGTTTTATTTATATATACATTTCCAGACTTGAGTATTTTCGTTCAGATATTGTTATTCAGATTGTTTTAGAGGCTCTAGACTCGTGACCCCAGGTCTTTGGGAGCGTTTTTATCAGACTTCGTGTTTTTCTCAGTATTATTCTATTATAAACATTGGATTATTATTCTAAAACCATTATAATCTCTTTAGATTATCGGTTTGAGGTTTACGGTTAATTTGGGAACGATTGTGGTCTGGCTTGCCTAGCAATATTATTGGGCGCCATCACGATCGGGTTTGGGGTCGTGACAAGAAACAACCCCCACCCCCCACCCCAAACACACAATTCCTTTTATTTCCTTCCGACAGCCAAAGCAACGAAAGGCAGTTAATTTTTTTTTTTTTTCGGTTGAAGGAAAAGCAGTTATTTTCACCACAATACCAGTGTTTGATTTGATCGGTGAAAATCCCTTTTTAACTTGTCACATTTGAGTAAGAGAATTTATTTGTTTTAATGACTTAGGCCTCATTTGTTTGTATTTAACGAAGGTCTGAGTTTTAATCATTCAAATCTCAGATATTAAGTGTATTTGTTTTTTAAAGTCCGAATCTTAATTATTCAGATCTTAATCATTAAGTGTATTTTTTTTTTATTTCACAACAACTTAATGGGTCTAAATAGCTGTATGTTTAAGACTTATAACAGTGACTTAATTTCATTAAGATACTATCACATATTCATTATTAACTGCCGCCACCGCCTACCATTATCAACTACCACCATGCCACCACCACAACCAAACTCAACCGCCACCACGCCACCATCATCCTCAATCATAGCTGCCATCATTATCAACCATCACCACCCACTAACCCCACCACTCCGACCACCATCATTCTCACCCACAATCAACACTCGTTCACCTCAACTACCACAACTCACCACCCCATCACCATCAACAACCACAGCCGCACTGCCCATTATTATAACCTACCACTACCCACCCACCACCTTACTCAGTCACAACTACTACCACCACTCGCCATTAATAACTATCACCACCCACCACCACCCTCAATCATAATCGCCATCACTACCAATCACTACTAGCTACTAGCATGAACCACCACCGTCAACCAAAACTACCACCAACCATCGCCTCTAGTCGGCATTCACCCGTTAGCCATCATCACCAACAACTATCATATTTTAAAAAACTATATATTTTATTGAGTGAATATGAGATTAGTTAGTATTTCATTTGAATTTTATGTTTATTAATTTTCAAATAAAGATAAATTTTATACATTCAGATGTTAAAAATCAAACTGTCTTAATTATTTCTATTCAGATCTTAATACACATCTTTATATATTCAGATGTGTATTCAGATTCAGATGTCTTAATCTTAAAAAAAAATAAATGAGGCCTTAATTAAGCATCTACTGCTAATAGCTAGCTTATCAGCCAAAAACGTTCCTTTTTGCATTTTTTGGTTGATTTGTATGCTGGACAGTTCTCCGATACTGCTTGATTTTATTTTCAAAGAAAATGTGAAACCAACTACTTACTTCTCATTTGAGCATGAGCTCTCACTTTTCTTGGGGAGAAAATGACTTATGCTCTTTTACTCTCCTGTACTTTTTCCCAAGAAAATCCTTTTTAATTTATTTTCTAACAGCTTGTTTAACACCAAATCCCAAAATAAATCAAAAGAATATGAGTAGAGTTTTGTGGCCTAAAGCTAACCTTTACGAGGGGCCTTAACTTCTTTTTTTTTTTTTAAATATTTATTTATTTGAAGTCTATTTTTCTATTTCTTAGATATAAAGTTATTAATATTTTTTATTAATCAATAACTCCTAATAAGTCTTTCTTAATTGACAATATAGCTATTCCATTTAACCTTTCTTGAGACATTGTTGATCTTAGGTAAGATTTTATCAATTTTAATTTTGAAAACTTCTTTCCGCTGAAGAGATGGTAACAAGAGTTATTAACATTATTCTATAAGCAATGTAGGCATTGAAAAAAGAATCAAATCTTTTTATTTGACCGAGTGTATCAATAAAACTATTATCTTCTAATTGTACTATTTTCCTTAATACTTTTAATTCCGAAAATAAATCTAAACATCAATATCGAATTGATTATTATGCTTTAAGGAACATTCAAGATTAAGGCAATATTTTTTAAATTTTCATCATCTAGTGATCTTAAGTTTTACCGCGAAATGGAAAATAAAAAAAATTTCATGTGCTTCGAATTGTTCAAATCTATTTTGAAGTGAAAAAATAATCTTGTGTACTATGTATGAAGTAATCAACTCCAAAGGACTCTCCGAAAGATTTGAGATTTTATTATCAACATTCCCATCGAATTGTTACTTCCTATATATCACACGTTTCTTACGAAATTGGGGTTCGATATTCATTTCAAGTGCAATTTTCTTGGCAGAAATCATAGCAGTTGCAAATCCTTCTTCTCTTTACTTGTTAAAGAAAGAATCAATTTTTTCACTTTACATAACTTTTTTTTAAACTTATACAAAGCATATTAAGTATAACAAAAAATGGGACCCCCACAAATATGGGGCCTAGGGGTGTTCATAAAAATCCGAAAAATCGCACCAAACTGAAAACCAAACCAAACCGACCAAAAAAACCGATACTTTTTGGTTTGGTTTGGTTTTGGTTTTGAATTTTAAAAACCGATCAAATTTTATTTGGTTTTGGTTTTAATCAGAAAAAAATCGAACCAAACCGACTATAGGAGTAGCTATTTCAAATTTATTATTACACCTATAAATATGTATATTTTATACAAAGTTTCAAAAATTTATGGTAAATGTTAATAGTTTGCACTTTTAACATAGTTCTTTACCTTTACATTCTAGTTTGATTGGTAGTTTTCTTTTGTTTAGTGTAAGAATCCATTTCGTGTTAAAAATAACATATTTTTAATTGAGCCCTTAAATTATTCATCACTATTTGATTTAATTATCATCAATATATCTTGGTAAATAATAAATTTCTCAAAGGGCAATTGATTTGATAGTGTTACATTGAAAATGTGGTCGCCGGAATATGTGTTTGGTAGTGTATGTCTTATATTTAAGAAAAACTGACAAATAACCGAAAAAATCGGAAAACAGACATAAGCCGAATCGAGAAAAACCGACTTAATTGGTTTGGTTTGGTTCTAATATTTGAAAAACCGACTTACTTGGTTGGTTGCTTTTGGTTCTAAGTATCACTTATAACCTCTATGGTAATAATCAATTGTCATAAAGAATCCGAACCATTAACAATTTTGTCCGTTTACTCAACACACATAAAAAAGAAAAGGGGAAAGAAACCAAAAGTAGAGAGCAAAATACAGTAGGTTTTGGTCTTTTCTTATTTTTAACACTGCGATACAATAGACATGTTAGCCAGAAAAGGACTCATGCTACCATGTAAAGAATTTTACATAAAAGAAAACCCACAAAAATGCACAAAAATTGAATCATGTGCTCAATGCTTTGTCCATTGATGGCGGCCTGTTCATTTCTTCTGTGCATACGAGTTCATGTCGAGGAACCTGGGATATCTTTCGGCATTTTTGTTAGTTTTATGATCATAATACTCAACTGCTGCAGCACCAGCTAACGCGGCTAGTGTGAGTGCCTGTGCGTGCAACCTAATTTCACATTAACAAAAAAATATAAAGTTAACTTTACACTGTCTGTCCATAGTTCATTAATCCATCGTGTAAAAATAACTTATACTAAACATCTAACTGCCAGTAGTAAGTCAATATATAAAAAAAAAAAAAAAAAAAATCATGCTACAACATGTTAAGATACACAAATAATGTAAAAAAAAAACTTGTAAATCGTATGTTTGCGTATATTGCTAATTAGCACTTTGAAAGGAGAAAAAAAGTAGGAGTAGCACGAAATCAGTAAACCATAGTCATTTCATCAAACAGGTAGTAATCGGCGAATGAATTGGTATACCTAGCATGGATGAGCCTGACACTGGTTTTCATGTTGGGTTTTGACCAATTGTATGCGACCGATCCCGTTATTCCGCTTAGCCAAAGACATCCTTTGTAAAACATTAATCCAAATCAGTTATAGAATGATAAATCGGGCAATGTCGAGGACGTCAGCCTAATTTTTAATAGAATAAACATACAAGATGAGTTAAATATATTTACTAGAAAACGCCAAGGATATCAAAATGTGTATCCATTAGACAAAACGTACTAAAATTCTGGACATTATAATGATTTTATATAATAATATCCTAAATCACCAATTTTTAATCAGAGAACAGTATATTATTTTTGGAACAGTTAAATACTTACAAGAAAATTAAATGTAATATATTCTGGAGCATATGGGATAAAGATTTAAGCATAAACAACATACTCTAGTGTGTAATCAGCAGTTGAGCACAGTCGATATATATATAAGACGTGCACGAAACAAATGTCCATATGCTAAATCGTTATTCCATGTGACTTTCACAGTTTTGTCCTTTTACAGCATGGAACTCAAATCAAATAAACAAATCTCTCTGATATTTTAAAAGAAAATTAATAAACAATGTGGGATATTTTTGGGAAATTACCGACGGTGCGAAGCTTGTGCTCGGAGACCCACTCCCTCACAGATTCAACGGTAGATATTTGGTTAGATCCCGCCATCTTTAGAACATAAGAAAGATGGAGAATCTAGGCTTTGAACGATGAGTGTGAAAGAGAGAGGCAAAACAGCAGAGTAACAAGACAAGTGACAAAAATGTTTGCTAACTTTAATATTAGTTAGTTGCATATTTTTATATTTCGGTGACGAGAAATGTTTGGAGAAAGAAAAGGCGAAATTTACAACCAAAGAATTGAAGGGTTGCCCGATCTTTTAAGCTGTTGTCTTTCAATGCGCCACGACATAAACATCCTCTTCTTATTAAAAATTTTTATAACTAACAAAAACAAATTATAATCCTTTTTTTCTTTTCGTGCTTGAAAACGAAGTAGAATGGGTAACATTTTCACGTATGATCTCTGATTTTGTTGATGTACAGATAGGCCCAGATGTCCACACAGGCCCAATGAAGCCCAATAGCTAATATTTCAGACTTGTATATTTTCAGTTTTGTCTTACTTAGTGAGAGATAGCCTCATTTTACATTTTGTTTTAGATAGCCATTTCTTGTGTAAGAATATATAGGGTGGAACATTCTAGAGAGAACAACTTTTGGGCTAATAACAAAAAGATCAGATATTTCCTCACGATTCTCTCTCTCTCGTTCTCTGAGATTTGGGCATTTCCACCATGGAAATGCTTTCTTAGCTTCCGCAAATTCTCATATTAACATGGTATCAGAGCGGGACACGAGTTCCTACATTTGATTGACTTCATTCGTCCGTATTTGTGCAGTTCAATCTTCACGATTCTAGGTTTTATAAGCCCTAGTTTTCTGATTTGGGATTTTCTTCGATTGAGACCAAATTCAACCTCAGCCATGGCTTTTTGAAGATATAATGACGGTTTGCTAGTGATCTTCCTCTGACTTCGATCGATGTTTCTGTTTTCTGCTTCAGGAGATATTTTGAAGGCCTTGTCTTTTTCGGGTAGTGAAAAAGGACGGTATTTTCTTTTCTAATCTCAAATTACATGCCTCAATTCCTAGTAGATTTCTGTTGTTTTTGAGTATTCTAGATACAAAATGGGTGATGAACGTGTGAATTCACCTAGTCAATCCGAATCTGGCTTCGTTATATTCACTGTAGATCCTTCACATCCTCTCTATATTCATCCCTTAGACAGTCCTGGGACTTACTTAGTATCTCCTCCTTTTGATGGCACTGGATTTGTTGCATGGCGCAAAAGCATGTTAGTTTCCCTATCTGCCAAAAATAAATTGGCACTAATTGATGGTCGTCAGCCCAAACCTCCTGATAACTCACCTTATTATTCCTACTGGGAAAGGTGTAATGATATGGTGGTCGCTTGGATCACCAATTCGCTTTCTAGAGACATTGCAACCAGTGTCCTAGGGTATGATACTGCGAAAGAGATTTGGTTGGACTTAAATGAAATATTTGGTCAGTCTAACGGCTCCAAGTTTATTCAGATACAAAGGGAAATTGGAACCATTTCCCAGGGAACATCAGACATAGCCTCTTATTTCACAAAGTTTCGTAGTCTTTGGGATGAACTTCAGACTGCTTATGTAGGTCCTACATGTTCATGTGGTGCTTTACCCAAATTCCTTGATGAAATGAAACTATTCTGGTTCCTAGCTGGATTAAATGAGTCATATAGTACTGTCAAAAGCAACATTCTCATGATATCACCACTCCCATCAGTTAGTAAGGCCTATTCCATGTTACAACATGATGAGAGACAAAGGAAAACATCTCCAGCCCCAAGTTTTTCTAGTGATTCTGTGTCTTTTTCTGCATCCTCCACTTCCTCAACTCATTCACAAAATCATGGTGGACAAAAACCTTTCAATCAGAAGATTCATTTTGAGTCAAAGAAGTCTGTACAACCCATGACGTGCAGATATTGTAAAAAACCAGGTCATACCATTGAGAAATGTTACAAACTCCATGGTTTTCCTTCTGACTTCAAGTTCACCAAAAATAAGAGATCAGCTTCCTGTGTTCAAGCTGAGGGTACTAATTCTGCTCCATCAATCTCATTTATGGAACAACCTTCACCTGTCAATCATGGATTTACTACAGAACAATATCAGCATCTTCTCACTCTCCTGAAGCAGTCACATATTTCTTCAGGTATCTCAAGTGATTCTCATTCTGGAGACAATCATGCATATGCCCATTTTGCAGGTTTGTTTTGCAGTTCTGTAGTTAGGTCTGTGGATTTTCATGCTTGTGCATCCTCACAATTAACTGTTGACACTTGGATTTTAGACTCAGGGGCTACTAATCACATGACACCTTACAAATATCTTCTCCACAATCTTCAACCATTAACTAGACCCTACTTAATCACTTTACCAAATGGATACAAAGTAAAAGTTGTATCTACTGGATCTTTACAACTTAGATCTGATATTGTGTTACACAATGTTCTTCTTGTCCCATCTTTTCAGTTCAACTTAATTTCAATATATTAGCTTCTTTTACAACTTCATTATATTGCAGTTCTAACTACTTCCCATTGCTTCTTACAGGGCCCTTCTCTGAAGAGGCCACTGAGAATTGGTAAGGCTGACAATGGATTGTATTTTCTTAATCTTGATGATAGCCCTTTAGTTTCATCATTTCCAATTGATGTTTCATGTACTGTTTCATCTTCTGTTCCTAACGTTTCTCCTGTTTTTAATTCTGCTAGTCCCATTCCTATTAGTCCCTCATGTAATTCTTCAGTTGATATTAATAAAACAGATTTGTTTTGGCATCAAAGAATGGGTCACATGCCTTACAACAGAATGAAATCTATTCCTTTTATTTCTTCACAAATTTCCTCTAAACAGTCATTTCTGTGTCCTATATGTCCTATGGCTAGATAACAAAGGTTGCCCTTCCCTGATAGCACTACTCAATCTACTGCCCCTTTCCAATTGGTCCACATTGACATTTGGGGACCCTATAACACTACTACATATAATGGTTTTAGATATTTCATTACCTTAGTGAATGACTACTCTAGGGTAACTTGGACCCATTTACTTTCTAGCAAAAGTAATGCTCTCTCTGTACTCAAATCTTTCACTTGTATGACGCAGAATCATTTCCACACTTCAGTTCAGACCTTCAGGTCTGATAATGCTTTTGAACTAGGATCTAGTCTCGAGTCCAGATCCTTCTTTTCTTCTCAAGGAATTCTGCACCAAACCACTATTCCCCACACACCACAATAGAATGGTATTGTGGAAAGGAAACATAAACACCTCTTAGAAACTTCCAGAGCATTACTATTTCAATCCAACTTGCCTACTAAATTCTGGGGTGTATGTGTCCTTACAGCCACATATCTCATCAATAGATTCCCTTCTACTGTCTTTAACAACATATCCCCTTTTGAGAAACTACATGGCCATTCACCTTCCTATGATAATCTTAGATCATTTGGATGCCTTTGTTTTGCCACATCTCCTAAACATAGTAGAGACAAGTTTCAATCTAGAGCAATCCCTTCCATTTTCCTTGGATATCCTTGTGGGAAGAAAGGATACAAGTTACTTAATATGTCCTCTCAATCTATTTTCTATTCTAGAGATGTTGTTTTTCATGAGCATGTTTTTCCCTTCTCCACTAATTCTTCTAGCTCTTCCCTCCCTTCACCCTCCAGTTTTGTTGATGTTACTCCAGCTGTGCCTTCTCCTTCCACTTTTCCTCCTAATTCTACATCCTCTCCTATTTCCATTCCTCCTGATAATCCCTCTCTTTCTCCTCCTACTGCTGTTCCAGAATCTTTATCATTTCCTATTTCCATCCCATCTCCTTCCAATCCTTCTACATCTGATCCTCCTCTTAGAAGATCCCTTAGAGTACCACATCCACCTCCTCATCTAGCAGACTATGTCTGCTCTGCCCCTGTATCTACTGTTCCTCCTATGTCTTCTAGAGAATTGCACTTGCATGAGCCTCAGTACTATCAACAGGCTGTTTCTAATCCTGCTTGGCAGGATGCCATGTTAAAAGAATTTCAAGCACTAGAAGCTAACAACACCTGGGATATTGTACCTCTTCCCCTTAACAAAAAGGCTATACCTTGCAAATGAGTATACAAAATAAAACAGAAATATGATGGTTCTGTTGAGAGGTACAAGGCACGGTTAGTCATTAGGGGTGATACTCAGAGGGAGGGAATTGATTACAATGAAACATTCTCCCCGGTTGTCAAATTTACTACTATCAAGTTTCTTCTTTCTCTTGCTATAAAGAGGAACTGGACTGTCTATCAACTTGATGTAAATAATGCCTTTCTCCATGGTGACCTCCATGAGGACGTTTACATGAAGATCCCACCTGGGCTGCAGGTTTCTTCTACTTGTTCTTCTTCTCTCCCTTTGGTATGCAAGCTTAAAAAATCTTTATATGGCCTTAAACAAGCCTCCAGACAATGGTTTTCTAAATTGTCTGAAGCTTTGTCTACAAGATGATACACTTCTAGCATGAATGACTACTCCCTGTTTACAAAGTCTACTTCTACTTCTCTTACTGTACTAGCTGTTTATGTTGATGATATTCTACTAGCTGGGGATGATGTTGCTGAATTGGATAGTGTTAAGCTATTTCTTGACCAACAATTCAAAATAAAGGATTTGGGGTCAATCCATTATTTTCTTGGTTTGGAGGTCACTCAATGTCCTGAAGGTTACATCATTAGCCAACAGAAGTTCACACAGGACTTGTTGGCAGAATTCTAATGTCATAATTTTTCCTCTGTTGTGACTCCTCTTGATACTTCTGTCAAGTTGACTGTTGATATGGGTGCTCCATTAACTGATCCTAGGACCTATCAGAGAATCATTGGGAAACTCAATTTTCTCCAACACACGAGGCCAGATATATCTTTTTGTGTTCAATATTTAAGTCAGTTCCTTCAAGCTCCTCAAGTTCCTCATATGCTTGCTGCACTTCATGCGCTGAGGTATCTGTCCAATGCTCCTGCTTTGGGGATTCTTCTTTCTTCCTCTTCTGATATCTCTATCAAAGCCTACTCTGATTCTGACTGGGCTGGTTGTGCTGAGTCAAGGAGGTCTGTTTCTGGTTTTTACATTACATTTGGTGGTTCACCAATTTCCTGGAAAAGCAAGAAGCAACCCACTGTTTCACTATCTTCTGCTGAAGCAGAATACAGGGCTCTCAGAAAAGTGGTTGCTGAGGTGTCTTGGTTGGTCAGATTGCTAGATGATCTTGGTTTACATGTTTCTGCTCCTGTTCCCATCTTCTGTGACAATCGTGCTGCTTTACACATTGCCAAAAATCCAGTATTTCATGAAAGGACAAAGCATATCGAAATTGACTGCCACTATGTACGTGAGAGTCTCAATTCAGGGCTGATATCTCTGCATTTTGTTCCCAGTTCTTCCCAGCTTGCTGATATTATGACCAAGCCACTGCCTGGGCCCCTTCATCATTCTCTACTTGGCAAGCTTGGTGTGCTGTCACCCCCAAGCTTGAAGTGGGGTGTTGATGTACAGATAGGCCCAGATGTGCACACAGGCCCAATGAAGCCCAATAGCTAATATTTCAGACTTGTATATTTTCATTTTTGTCTTACTTAGTGAGAGATAGCCTCATTTTACATTTTGTTTTAGATAGCCATTTCTTGTGTAATAATATATAGGGTGGAACATTCTAGAGAGAACAACTTTTGGGCTAATAACAAAAAGATCAGATATTTCCTCACGATTTTCTCTCTCTCGTTCTCTGAGATTTGGGCATTTCCACCATGGAAATGCTTTCTTAGCTTCCGCAAATTCTCATATTAACAGATTTTGGCAATTAACTTTAGGCTATTCTACATTTTTCTTGAAAGTAGTGAAGAAGCTTTTTTAATCAATCTTATCTTTAGATCATTTCATATATGCATAAATTTAGCTGTCAAAATAGCATTTGCTGGTGGCTTCTCATGACGACAACATTAGTAGAAATGAGTTTATATATGTAGGACAATGTAGCTTAAGCTCATTTGAATGAATTGAACGAGGCACTTGTGTATATGCACCATTAATTGAGTAGCTAATATAAATGAGTTGTAGGAGAAATTCAGAGTGTAAACAAAACACAATGACATGGATTATTTCAAGATCAGTACAAGATTTACGTACCTGTTAATGCAACGAAGTAGAAATTACAATCAGAAAATTGCTTCAAACTCTACTTTGAATTTCTTGGAAACAAAGCAAAATTGCTACAAACTAAATGTCTTTTTATGCGTTAATGTGGAAGAAGAGAAGAGAACTTACTTCTCTATTTCTTTTTCCTTTCTTGCGTTTCTCACACTTTGCCAAAGATCTGAACCTCTATATTTAAGAGCACTTAAAATAGCAATGTCATGACCCGAAATTCATTAAAGGTCGTGATGGTGCCTAACATCGCCTTAGGCAAGCCAGCAGTAAATGATTAACTGAATTACGCCTTTTAGTATTTTTGAAATCATAATTTCCTTCAATTAAATAGTAAGAAATAACGTTTACAGGGTAAATGATAATATTTTTCACCACTACAATGATGAACAACCCATAAGTACCCTCAAAACCCGGTGTCAGAAGTGCATGAGCAACAACTAGGAAATATGGTAAGATACAATATGTATCTGGAATACAAATTAGACAGGAGAAGGTAAATAACTCTGATGGGGACTTTGTGTGCTGCGGGCTCGTAACATGGGATGCACCTCACCTGAGTCCCTGCAATATGCGAACCTCTGCGCCCACAAGATCACTAAACATATATGTACCTGCACAAAATGTGCAGCAAGTGTAGTATGAGTAAGTAAACCAACGCATACCCAGTAAGTATCTATTCTAACCTCGAAGAAGTTGTGACGAGGGGTCGACTCCGACACTTACTATGGGCTAACAATAAAATACCGATATTATAATTAAGCGTGGATTATGTAAAAACAACTGAAAACTAAATAACAAGAAATAAATAAGCAATTCTTTCACTGATAGTAAATCCCAAATAGATTTTTACCATTTAACAAATTAATTTCTCAAGCCAATGAAACAATATCGACTATAATTGGACTCCAAGAATTTTTACGCGCGAATTATGCCGAGGTCGTACGGCCCGATCCAACATACAAATATATAAATTGTACACTGCCGAGGGTCGAACAGCACGAACCATTGATGCGCCTATCCGCTACCAAGGAGTTCGGCCCGCTCCACGAGAAGAGAAAATACTTTATAAACAATCGATTCAAGATTATTAGGAGACTAATTTTTTCAAGGAAACACCAATTCTCATTAACCGAGAAGAGAAAATATATTGTCTTGCTATTACTTGCTATCAGTGCTTCTTCCGTCTTTTATTTAGCCGAGGGCCTATCGGAAACAGTCTCTCTGCCCTTCCAGGGTAGGGGTAAGGTTGCATACATTCTACCCTCCCCAGACTCCACTTGTGGGATTACACTAGGTTGTTGTTGTTGTTGTTGTTGTTGTTGTTGTTGTTGTACCAATTCTCATTAACGGTCAAGTGACCCGTCCAAAATTCAAGTAAATAAAATTTAACCTTTTACAATTCCTTTATAAAGTTCCAATACGATTTAAGCAATTAAATTAACAAGTAGGGTGCAAACATTGCAAGTATAATTTGGGTCCTAGACTACCCGGACATAAGCATAACTAGTAGCTACGTACGGACTCTCGTCACCTCATGCGTGAGTAGCCCCCACAAATAGAGGCACATATTAAATAAATTCACCTATGGGGTTGATTACCTCTTACAAGGTTATAAAAGAGACTTACCTCGCTCCGAAGTTCCAGAACCGGCTCCAAAACTTTTCCCAACAACTCAAACCAATGTCCATCACCCCAAAACTAGTCAATCAATGTACAAATCCATAAATATATACTCTAATACTCATTATAATTCAATTTATAATAATTTTCAACTCCGCTCGAAAAGTCGATAAAGTTACCCTCGGACCCACGTGTCGGATTCCGAAAATTTTTGAAGATAAACATTACTAACTCAAATATATAATTTATTCCCAATTCCATGCCCAAATTCGTGGTCAAAATCCAACAATACTAATTTCTAGGTTTTCTACCAAAATCCTAAATTTTTACTAATTTTCATATCTAAATCCATCTATAAACCTTGTATTTAACTCAAAATACGCGGGAATCACTTGAAGCTCTCCAAAATCGCCCAAACCAAGAGAGAAATGAGTGAAATGGGCTAAATCCTGCTTTAAAACAACTCTGTCCAGGCCTGACCTTCATCGCGTTCGCGACCTCCTGAACACATTCGCGATGGCCAGCTGCCCCTTCCCCTTTGCGTTCGCGTTCCACGCCTCGCATTTGCGTAGGCCAAACAGCCTCAGGCCCAGCTCCTCCCTTTTCCTTCTACGCGTTCGAGACTGACCCTTCGCGTTCGCGTAGGTTCCTCAAGCATTTCTCCACGTTCGCGACCACTGTGTCGCGTTCGCGATGAGTAAAATCTCAGCCCCAAAATATCCTTCTTCGCGAATGCGGAATACCCTTCGCGTTCGCGAAGGAGGAAACCAGACACCAGCACGAGTATCAGCAATTTAGCCAAATTTGGTCCGAAACCACCCCGAAATACACCCGAGCCCCCCTAGACCCCGTCCAATCACACCGACTCGTTCCAAAATGCAATACAAACTTAGTCGAAGCCTCAAACCACGTCAAACAATATCGAAATCATGAATCGCACCCAAATTCAAGCTTAATGAACTTTAGAACTTCAAGCTTCTACATTCGATGTTGAAACCTATCAAATCATGTCCGATTGACCTCAAATTTTGCACACAAGTCACATTTGACAT